CACCAGTGTGTGAATGTGAGAGTGAATGAATAGTAGCATTGTAAAGCGCCCTAACGCTTGAAAAGCGCTATATAAATCCAATCCATTATTATAAATTAACATATTTTCGCCTGACTGCAAATATGAAAACTAGGAAAAGTGAAGTCAGATAAATAAAACCCCAAATTCTCAGAGCATTACTTTAAAGTAAAGTAAGCTGGCACTTCTGACTGACCAGTGTCAGTGTCATGGCAGGGTGTATGTCAACCAGATGTGGGCCAGGTCTGGCAATGATGACACTATTTATGCTCCTATTTTCCTATTTTAGTTAGAAGACACAAATGCCATGTTGCAATATTATACTGCTATGGTAGCCAACGTTTCAAATGCAAGTTTGTGAGTGTACACTTTATCCAGAACCTAGTGACGGACAGTTTACAGTTTAGTGGGTGGCTGTAGCTCAGGGGGTAGAGCAGGTTATCTACTGATCACAAGGTAAGTGGTTCGATCCCTGGCTCCTCCAGTCTGTATGTCAAGAGTGTGAATGTGTATGAATGTAGTTAGGAATCTCTCAGTTTAGAGAAACTGTGTGAATGTGGCATGTTGTATAGAGCACTTTGAGTAATCCGGGAGAGTAGAGAAGCGCTATATAAGAATCAGTCCGTTCACTGTCTGAACAGAGTTTCATCATGTTACTTTTGCACTGTTTTGCATGTTCTGGCACATGTTGTTATTACATGGCTTAATTAAGGTACACATTAGGCTGAGATCTGGGGCCAGAGCTGAAACTGCTCTGGGCCAGCACAGGACCACCAGTGTGTCTGCAACTGGCTTTGTGTGGGCCACATCTGGCAAACCAGATCTGGGCCACTAAAGGGCCGTCGTTCTTTGCGGCATGTGGGTCATGTATAAGCACATTGTGTGGGCCAGATCCGGGCCATACCAATTTTGCTATGTGGGCTGGTGGTGATTGTATTTTACATGTTTTAATAAAAGACAGCAAACGTGCCCTTCAAAAAGAAAGTGTTTCACAAGCAAAAGAGTTTTCAGTAAGGTGGGAGTGGGATGATTCACTTGCAGGTTTACATGAAAGAACCTTAATAATATTTTATATAAATGGTCACAGGTTATAACATCTGCATGTGCAGTTGTGGTTTTCTGAGATAACTTGTTAAACTTGATCTGATCTGTCTACATCATCAGGTAATTTCCCATCATGGCAGCAATGAAATCCGCCTTGTCTAAGGATCAGGAGAAGGAGCTCCTCTCTCTTTTCGGTCGTGTCAAACTCCATCTGCTCCACAAAGCCAGCATCCATGGGTTCACTGCTGATGTCTTCCACAGACACTGTGACAAGCAAGGGCCCACGGTTATTGTAGCCTACAATGCTGCTGGGTTCGTCTATGGAGCCTACACCTCCAAAGATTACACTCAAGGTGGAGAGGGTGTCAATGATGAGAAGACATTTCTCTACAGTATCAGTGCTGAGAGAAACAAACCACTGAGGGTAGCAGCTATCATCGGGCAGTGTGCTTTCACTGATGGAGGCACCGGTCCAAATTACGGTGCTCTGGTTTTCTTGCATGATGACAAACCTGAAGTGCAGTCGAATCCAGGCACAGGCTTCAACTTTCAGGCTGCAGATATGCATGGAAATGACTTGACACTGACAGAGTTCGAGGTGTATCGAGTTGAAGGTGTGTAAAAGTAATCCCTGAGTTTTATAGAATTAAAAAGATGTCTCCCATGGTTATACTTTCAAAACAGACATTTCATGACCATTAAAAATGTGCTTAAACCAAGGCTTGTAATTTTACTGTGCATATTTCAGAGAATTAATATTGATATGATTAAAAAGTGATCCTGTTCTTATTAATCGATTTTTCACTTATAGACCTAGAAAATCTCTTGCCCAAGCCCTGGAGGAACATCAACTGGACAGCTGAGTATGTAGAAACCTGCAGCACAGTTATTGGTGGTGTTTGTGTAAAATATATAAATTTATGTTTGGATTTTGTAATTCTAAGAAAAACTAAATTGTTCATCATATGTTCATCATCAGTATAAGGTTATGTCATATCTTTTTTTTAGCTTGTCATCATGTAAACTTTTTTATGCTTGCACTCTGGGTGGTGTGGGTACATTTTCTTTCTTCTAGACAAAAACAGCAACTGATGAAGGCCATCCTGAACTATAAGCCTGACATTAAAACAGTACACCAAGCCCGTGTGCTGTTGGTAGGCCCGATTGGAGCAGGCAAGTCCAGCTTCTTTAACTCCATCAACTCAGCATTTCGAGGCAACATGACTTCCCAGGCCATCGCTGGCACAGCGGGGGAGAGTGTGACCACTCAGGTACTGGCACAGGATTTTTTGTATAACTGAATCTGCATGCTCTACCTATAATGTACAGTGTTTTCCCATTAAATGACATTTTCTATCTTTTCTGTAGTTTCGCACTTACACCATCAAGGCAGGGAAAGGTGGTAGCGTTGTCCCACTGATCCTCTGTGACACAATGGGGCTGGAGGAAAATGGTGGTTTGGACATTGAGGACTTGGTCAACATCTATAAAGGTCACATCATGGATCGCTACCAGGTGCATTTCATGTTAACTGATTAAATAGTAAACAATTAAATACAAAAAATGTAGGCAGCTGATTGATAAGTAACAGCTATGGGTTTTTTTGTACTTCAGTTTAGCACATCTGGCCCTATCCTAACAGATGC